CAGGATACTGGTTTGTACCATACCATCCCGGCAGTAACCCTGCCAGGGATTTCTGGGCTTCCCTGGGGCCTGGCAGCCCTGGGAGGTGAGGGCCCCACCTTTTAAAACCTCCCAGCTGGGATACAGGCCACGGGGCTGGCTACAGAGAGGAAGGAAATGCAGGGACCAGGGATGACATTGGTGGGAGGGCTAGGGAAGGGACAGCTGGGTGGTATCTAGAGTTAAAAACAAAACAAAACAAATTTGACTTATTGGTAATAAAAAATATATATGCCTGTTGGGGATGTTCAAATGTGCATAGGGGAACAGTTCAAGCCCTTTCATGCACCCAGAAAGCACCATTCCTTCAGCTCTAACGGCGACCTCTCGGCTTTCACCTCTATGTCGACAACACACACACTGTCACACATACTCATACACTTGCAAACACACAGAGACACACCATCACACACGTTCACTGTCACACACACCATCTCATACACTCACAAACACACGCAGTCACACACACACATTTTTACCGCACACACACTCACTCCTACCATCCCCCATTTGCCACCACTATCGCACCCCCACACACCTACGTGCGCTGATGCCCAGGTTAGTCGGCCTTGTCTGTGTTGGCCCCTCCTTTGGACCCGGGTCTGCCCTGGGGGCCAAGTAGGCTCCATCCAGTTGGCTGCTGTTGGGAACAGTGCCAGGGTGAGCTTCCACGGCGGGCTGCCACCCTGGCCTGTGTTGCTGGCTCTGTGCAGGCATCCTAGGAAGGCCTGGGTCATGGGGATTGGAGTTTGGAGATGGCCATGCCCTTGTGTGGGGCTGAGGGCTGCCCTGCTTCCTGCCAGTGGTTGGACAAGCCACCATGGAGCAGGGAGTGGGCCAGGTGGCAGGTAGGAGTGTGAGTGCCATGTTGGTTTTAAGGCTGTTCTGCATCCAGGGGGCCATCAGTGAGTCCATTGAGCACGCTGTTAACTTTATGTTTCGATTTAAAATCAGGTTAATGCTGGAATCAATTTCTCTGAACTAGACAAGAAGCCCAGAATGTTCCCTTTATTTTTGACTTAATTACAAAAATAATTTAACTCAATTGTTCCCAGATCGCCAATTCCTGGTGATAAAACCAAAAGGTTTGGGGCTACGTTAACCTTAAATGCACCAAGTCCCAGCCCCCCTGGAGTGCTTCTGTCTGTCCCCCTCACACGGGCCCTGGCCTTGTGAAGCAGGAGGAGGGGCTGGCAGGGCGCATCTCTGCCAGAGAGCTCTTGTTTTCTGTCGGGGGCCTCTTATGATATCTTTCCCTCTAAGCTGAGCTAAGACAAGGTTGGCATTTTCAAAAAGGAAACTTACCGTGAAGGAAAGGGAAAGCAAAAACAGAACCAAAGCCAGGGAGATATACCACAGCAACCTCCTTTACTCATCTATCTAGCATCAACCCGCAGAGAGTGTTTCCTGGGAATTCCAGCCCCTCTTCCTTCCTCAGTCCACTCTGCATTACCCACATTTGTTTTAAGCCACTACGTATTGAGGCCTTCTCTTCCCGGCACTGTGCCACATGTGTCTAACTTCTACAAAAGTTTATTGAGCACCTACTACATGCACCAGTTCCATTCTACCTGCAGGGATGCAGCTGTGATCAAGATAGGACAGAGTCACTCCTGCCCTTGGGGAGCTGACACTAGTGTGAGGAGGCTGACCAGAACCAGGAGAGGATGCACGCACAGTGTGACTTAAGCTCTCAGAGAGTGCCTGGGGCAAAGGAGCTATTTTAGGCAGAGAGGCTTCTTCAAGGAAAAACCACTTGAGCTGGGAACAAACCAGCAATGAACTGACTTGAGTGAAGACTGTTCCAGGTGGAGGGCACAGCAGGAGCATGCTCCAAAGTCTCAGGAAAGCCAGACATCCAGTGGGGCTGGAGAGGAATGTGGGGGATGCAGTGGCAGGACGTGAGCTGAGGTAGGCTTTCAGCCCTGGTTGTGGTGGGAAGCCCATCCAGACCAAACAGGCCCTAAGGCCCCTTTGAGGACGTTGCAGGGCAGCAGTCTTCTACCCTGCCCTGGCCTGTCCTGATATGAGGGGCCCAGGGCCTCAACTGCCCAGGCAGCCTATGGGAAGGGCATAGGTCACCCTGGGCTTGGTCAATTTGAAGGGGTCTAGCCCAGACACGATGATCTTTACAACTAGATCCTCTATAGGTCTCTGTTTGCTTGGGGCTTTCCTGCCTCCTCTCCCAGTCCTGCTAGCTTCTCTGCCTCGATGGGGTCATGCAGAGCACAAGGGCGGAAAGGTCTGCTCCTTCTGGCTCCTCCCGCTGCCAGGGGTTCCCCAGAGTCTAGCTCAGCTGAGAGAAAGCAAGGCCCCCACTCCGCTGGAGCCAAAGGGGGTCTTCCTGGTGGAGTGAGGCCAGACTAGTGACCTCTGAGATATGTTCCCAGCACCTGCTGCTCACACTCCGAGGCCCCTACCACCCCGTTTCAGAGGACCCCAAAAGTAAGGAGCTGAAGTACGAATGGTGCAATGTCGGTGTCCTGGACTATGACAAGGAGAAGAAGCTGTATCTGGTGCACAAGACAGACGAGAACGGCTTGGTGCGAGACGAGATGGGGAAGCCCATCCTGAATGGAGGGGTCACCGCTGAAGGTACAAGCTTTCTGCCCCTGATCCAGGCGGATTCCCAACTCAGGCTGGGCCTGGCCTGTGACTGAAGCCAACCCCCACCTAGGGCACAGCCAGCTCAGGTTGGAATTCTCCCTTGCTCTGTTTGTCCTGTGGCTGGCTGTCCCTGACCAGTGAGAACCAGAGGGCCCATCACTCAGAGACCCCAACTCTGAGCAGCTGGTAGTGCCACTTTCAGCATGATGTTGAGAAGGAGCCTGAGGCCCATCAGTTAGTGATGTCTCCCGTGGTGTGGCATCAAGGAATGGGCATGTAAACAGCCACCCTTGTATAGCTCCTTGTTTGTGCAAAGCTCTTTGTAGTTTACAAAGCACTTGCTCATCCATCCATGACTAGCTAAGAGGTGGGTGGGGCAGGGAGTGTCATCATACCCATTTCACAGATGTGATGGGGGTCAGAAAAGGGAAACCACCTGCTCAGGGCTACCTTGCAGCAGCAGCAGAGGCAGGCTGCAACCCAGTCCTCCAGCCCAGAGAGCCCAGCTGAGTATTTTTTCTCTCTCTCCCACCCGCCTTCAGGAAGGCCACCCCTCCTGGTCTGCCAATACTGGGTGCCACGGATCCAGCTTCTCTTCTGTGCGGAGGACCCACGTGTGTTCACACAGCGTGTGGTCCAGGCCAACGCCTTGCGCAAGAACACCGAGGCACTGCTGCTATACAACCTCTATATAGACTGCATGCCCTCCGAGGGCCAGCGGCTCCTCAGCGAGCAGAGCATGAGCAGGATCAAGCAGTGGGCCATGAGCACGCCCCGGATGCGCAAAGGGCCCTCGTGAGTCCCTGCCAGACCTTTCCCCATGCCCACACGTTACCACCTCCAGGAAGCCCTCCGTGAGGAAGTAGTGCTGCCCAGGCGTAGTGCTCCCTTCATGCCCTCTTTCACCTTGCCAAAGACCACATGCTTGCCACCAAACCACTCAGTCTTGGTAGTGTAGATGAAAAAGCGGGAACCATTTGTGTTTGGTCCAGCATTGATTACTGTGGCTTTTTAGTAGGTTTTGAAATCAAGAAGTGTGAGACCTCCAACTTTGTTCTTTTTCAAGGTTGTTTTGGCTTTTTGGGGTCCCTTGAGATTCCATATTAATTTTAGGATGGATTTTTCTATTTCTGCAAAAAAAAATTGGGGGGATTTTGATAGGGATTTGCATGCTCATTTTCCATGTGAGATTTGGTATCAATTTATCTAGCTCTATTTTAAAAACACTTGGTATTTTTATTGGGATTGCATTGTATTTTTAAATTACCTTAGGTATAGCTGACATCTTTAGGATCTTGAATTGTCCTATCCAAGAACAAGAAATGTTTGTCCATTTTTTCAAGTCTACTTTTGTATCTTTTAGGAGTGTTGAAAATTTTTTCATATAGGTTTTGCATATTTATTATTAAGTATTTTATCTTCTTCGTGGCTATTATATATGGGATTTCCTCTATCGTTACACCAATTGATAACACTATGCTAATTTTATATCCTGTTACCTTACAGAAATCACTTAATGTTTGATTTTGTTTTATCATTGCTTCTCTAGGGCTTTCTAAGTACACATTATCTGTAAATAGAAATAGCTTTACTTATTCTTTTTCAATTCTTACTCTTCTAATTCCTTTCTCTTGTCTAGTTGCACTCTCTAATACCTCCAGTACAATATTGAATAGTACAGCAGATGGTAGTTGTCCTTACCTTGTTGTTAGTATTAGTGGAAATGCCTCTGGTGTTTCCCTCTTGAGAAAATGCTTGCTTTAGGCCTTTATGTATTTAATAACATACCCATTGATTTCTACTTTCTTAAGTGTTTTTGTTACAAGCACTTTAAGGACCTATGGGGATAATCATATAATTTGTCTCCTTAGACCTATTAACATGGTGTATTATATAATTGATTTTCTGATACCGAAACAACTTTGCATTCTTTTAATAAATCCACTTGGCCATGGTGTATCTTTTTTTTTTTTTCCCCAAAATATTACAGATGTCCCCTTTTATCCCCATTGACCCCTTCCACCTGGCACCCACTCCCCTCCCCAGGCCTTTGCCACACTATTGTCTATGTCCATAGGTTATACATATATACATATAAATTCTTTGATTAATCTCTCCCCACGCACCCACCCACCTCCATCTTCCCTCTGAGATTCGTCAGTCTGATCTTTGCTTCCATATCACTGAATCTATTTTGCTCATCAGTTTATTATGTTCTTTAGATTCCACGTATAAGTGAGATCATGTGATGTTTGTCTTTCTCTAACTGGCTTATTTCACTTAGCATAATATTCTCCAGGTCTACCCATACTGCCCCAAAGGGTACGAGATCCTTCTTCTTTACAGCTGCGTAGTATTCCATGGTGTAAATGTCCCACAGCTTTTTTATCCACTCATCTACTAATGTTTCCAGATCTTAGCTACTGTAAATTGTGCTGCTATGAACATCAGGGTGCATATATTCTTTCTGATTAATGTTTCAGGATCCTTATGATATATTCCTAGAAGTGGGATCACTGGGTCAAAGGCAGCTCCATTTTAAATTTTTTGAGGAACCTCCATACTGTTTTCCACAGCGGCTGCACCAGTCTGCATTCCCCCCAGCAGTGCACTAGGTTCCCCTTTCTCCACACCCTCGCCAGCAGGTGTCATTATTTGTTGATGGAGCCATTCTGACAGGTGCGAAGTGACACCTCATTGTGGTTTTAATTTGCATTTCTCTGAGGTTGAGCATTTTCTCATATGTCTCTTGGCCATCTGTATGTCCTCTTTGGACAAGTGTCTATACAGGACCTTTCCCCATTTTATCTGTATTGTTTGTCTTCCTCTTCTTGAGTTGTATGAGTTCTTTGTACACTTTGGAAATTAGCCCCTTATCAGATGAATCCTTGGCAAATATGTTCTCCCACACGGCGGGGTTCCTTTGTATTTTGAGGCTGGNCTCCCACATGGCGGGGTTCCTTTGTATTTTGAGGCTGGTTTCTTTTGCTGTGCAGAAGCTTTTTAGTTTGATGTAGTCCCATTTGTTTATTTTTTCTCTTATTTCTGCATTCATTGGTTGATTCTTATATGTGCCCTGACCAGGCATTGAACCCGAAACCTTGGTATATCAGGACGACACTCTAACCAACTGAGCTCCCCGGCCAGGGCCGTGTATCATTTTTTAATGTGGTATTAGATTCTGTTGGTTAATATGCTGTTTAGAACTTTTTGCATTGATATATGATGTTGGTCTGTAACTTTTTGTACTGTTTTTATCAGGTTTGAAGTAAAGTTATACTTGCTTCATATAAATAATTTTGACATTTCCCTTCATTTTCAGTACTCTGGAACAATGTATGTTAATTGGGGGTATCTGGTCACTCCTTTGTGAAATCATTGGTCTATTTAAGTTTTCTTATTTCCAATGAGTCAATTTCAGTATATTTTGTTTCTCTGGAAAATTATCCATGTTATTTAGGTTTTTAAGTACATTTGTGTAGAATTTTACAATATGATAAAAAAAAAATTTCTTCTGTTTCAATGTTGACTTCCCCTTTTTACTTCTTATTTTGTAGTTATATTCTCTCCTCCCCCCCTTTTTTATTGATTTAAGAGAGAGAGAGTAAGGAAGAAAGAGAGAAACATCAATTTATTGGTCATTGATTGACTCTTATACCTGCCTTGACCAGGGATCAAATGTGCAACTTTGGCATATGGAGATGATGCTCTAACCAACCAAGCTACTGCCAGGGCCCCCTTTTGTTCTTTATTAACTTATTTGGTGATTTGTTTGGCTTGTTAAATTAAAAAATATAGAATTTAGACATTAATGTGATGTGCTGCTTTCTATATCTACCTCATTAATTTCTACTTTTACTTTATTTTCTTCTTGTGCCTTCTTTGGCTTATGTTTTGTTATGTTGATAATTTGGGAGTGTGTGTGTGTATGCATGGTAGGAATTTAATTCAGTTATTTACATTCTTTTTTTTTTTTTTAGTATATCTTTATTGATTTCAGAGAGAGGAAAGGAGAGGGGGAGAGAGAGATAGAAACATCAATGATGAGAGAGTCATTGATCCGCTGCAGCCTGCAACCCGGGCATGTGCCCTGACCGGGAATCGAACCCTGATCGCCTGGATCCTAGGTCGACGCTTAACCACTGAGCCACGCCCGGCCGGGCCAGTTATTTACATTCTTACTGATAAATGTATTTAAAGCTATCAACTTGCCTCTAATAACTGCTTTAAAAATAGTCCACAGTTCTTATATGTAGTATTTCATTTTTTTATTCCAAAAATTTGGTTTATATTTCCCATTTTATTAAAGAGTTGTTTAATGTAAAGTTTTAAATTTTTTCTGTGGAAAGGTATTGTTAAAATTTTTTCTTAACAATGTCTGGTTTTGCCAAGCCTGTATGGCTTAGTGGTTGAACACTGACCCATGCACCGAGAGGTAGCCGGTTTGATTCCTGGTCAGCGCACATGCCAGGTTGTGGGCTTGGTCCCCAGTGGAGGGAGTGCAGGAGGCAGCCCATCACTGTTTCTCTCTCATCTATGTTTCTATCTCTTTCTTCTCCCTCCCTCTCTATCTAAAATCAGTAAAAACATACTTTTTTTGAAAAAAAAAAAGAATAGTGCCTGGCATATAGAAGGCATTCAGTAAGTTTTAAAACATTTTCTATTTTTATTGCATTGAGATCAGAGAGTGTTATTTGTAATATTTCTACTGTATAAAACTTGCTGATGTTTTCTTTATAACCTAATATATAATCAGTTTTTGTGAATATTCCATTTGTACTTGGGAAGAGGCATATTTCTATTATTAGGGCATAAAAGTTTTATGTATATATATACACATGCACACACACATATATATGTTGTTTACATCTTCTGTATCCTCACTTTTGTTCACTGAGAGTAGTGTGTTATCTCATTATGAATTGGAGCTTTTAGCATTAAAAAGTATCCTTGATCAGGTCCAATGCTTTTTACTTGAATTTTACTTTGTTTGATATCAGAATTATAACCTGGCTTTTCTGTTGTTTCCATCTTTCTGGTGGACCTTTGCCCATCCCTCTCATTTTAGCCTTTCGAAATTAGTTCGTTTTAGATACGTCTGTTGTTATCACCATACTGGGTCTTTGTCAACCAAGTTAAGAATCTTTTTCTCGTAATAAGTGACAGAGCTGATGTGTCTGAGCTCAGTTTTGTCATATTGTTTCATCTCATAGTTATTACGAGTATTATAATACAGTGCTGTGCTTCTGTACATGATGCGTTTTCTTTGTTTTTCTCCTTTTTAATTTTATTTCGGTATTTAGGAAGGTTTGTACCTTCATTAGTGGATTCTTTCGTACTTACCCCCTTTATAATGACCATAATCCCCTGCTTTCCTATTTAACCTTTTAATATCTATTTTGTCAGTTTTAATGCCATCCTCTAACTCCCTTCTACTTCCTATGCTACACTCCTCGATGGCGCTCTTCTTTCCTCAGTCCTGTCTCCTCCCATTTTCAGTTGCTTTTTTCTATTTAATATTTTAACGTGATATTTTTTCACCCTCATCTCTATCTTTTTCTAGTCTGAAATCTACAATGAAATACGTTAAGTATATTCATCTTTTTTTCCTGAAGTTTCCCCTATCATTTTGTAGGGGAGGAAGAAAGTCCTTTTTCTTCATACCCTTCTAGGTTCCCAGCTGGGGTTCTGTAGTAAAGGACAGATTAGCAAGAGAAAAGCATACAAACGTATTGAATATGTTTCAGTTGACTAGTACCCTTCATAAGGAAATGAAGACCTGAAGAGGTTAAGCCTGAGCATTTTTATGCCAGGCTTGGTGAGAAGTGGAAAGCCATGGGAAGATGTGATGGGACAAAAGGCTATGAGCTAAGGGTAGCAAGCTGGGTGAAACTTAGCAAGGCCTGTTCCTTCAGATTCCTCTTGGCATTGCTCTACCCTAGAGCTAAGGATGTCCCTTTCCTCCAAGTATAGGGAGAGCACCTCTATGCTTTCTATAGAGGGCCTTATGACCTTCTTCAGGAGAAGGTCAGAGGGTCCTTCTTGCACCTGTTGTTTCTCAAATTCCTCAGTTTAAACATTCAGTATGCCAAGGTGCCATATTTGGGGATAATGTGTCTGGAACCCCATCAATCTCTTGGTTGGGTGAAACTCTTCTTCTAGTATATTTCTCATAAAGGGCACAGCATTCCTAGAGTTCTTGCATGTTTAAAACTTGAAGGACAACCTGACTGGATATAAAATTCTTGGTTCACACTTTTATTCCTAGAGGTTTTTTGTTTCTTTTTCTTAAGATCTAATTTGCTTTATTAGGTGATTCATGAATCAAGCAGCATCCCATCTAGCAACTAGAAGGGTGCTCCCAGAGTGTTGTTTTTTAAATGCTTGCCTTGCTTTGTATGTTGCTTTTGAAAAGCCTGATACCAATCCAATGCTCTGTCCCTTGTAAATGCTTTGATTTTTTTTGCTTGGAGCCCTCAAGGATTTTTTTAATCTTTAAAGCCCAATTATTTTACTAGAGTATGCCTCAGAGTTGATGATTCTGGGTCAGTTTTCCGAAGTGCACAATGGGCCTTTTAAATACAGAGATTCAGATATTCTTTTCTTTCTGGAAGTTTCTTTTGCCTTATAGTGGGGGGGTCTTCCAGAGCAGGAAGCGGTTATACCTTTTAGACAACATATGGATACATTTGTGAAGAATGGAGAAACAGAGGGGTGGTTCAGGATGGGGGTGGGTAGTCCATGTGAAGAACCTAGGAAGATGGGGCTAGTTTGACAAGGTCTGCTGGTACGTGTGGATGGGCGCTCAGCAGCCCCCAGCGCTCCAGCTGCCTGCCCGCCGCACGCCCCTTCCCCTGAATTACAGTTTTAAATTAGTTCTGTTCCATCGTTTTGTTTTTCTTCATCAGAGATTCTATCTATCTTGCTGCTTCTTTGCCAGTTTCTAATTAATCCACTTTCTGATCCTTTTTAGTTCTTTTTATCATGTTTATTTCCTTGGTTATAGTCCTGTCTTTCTTCAGTGTACTTTATTACATTTTTTTATTTGACTCTACTATTCCTTGGACACCTCATAATCTAGCCTTCTTTCCTGAGAGAGTTTTGTTTCTTCCATTTCTTTTCTGAGTTCAATCAAATATCTTTTTCTTTCTATTTCCCCATTTCTGTGTTTTATTTTTGAATCTCTGACTCAGGGTGTTTTTCTCATATGCCCAGTGGCTTGCTTGAAGATGTTTCATTCAGTTTCAAGTGTTGTGTTCGTTTCCTCCTGCTTTGTCTTTGTTTCTCTTTTGAGGTTTGGATGAGACGTCCTATCAGTGAAGGAGTTCTCTCTCTTTTTCTTACAGTAGCTTTATATAAATGTAATTTACTTTTGCCCATTCATTTCATGGATTTGGGATGTTTTACAAGACTCCTAGTTCAAGGGTGCCCTCCTCTGTTAGTGTAACAAACGAGCTTTCTTTTTTCAAATGGATGGCTCTGTGTGTGTGTGTGTGTGTGTGTGTGTGCGCGCGCGCGCGTGCGTGTTGGGAAGAGCAACTGTGTGTCCTCTAAGGTTTTGTTTCCTCTTACCTTTAGGACTCTGATTTTCACTTTTACTCTTTTTTCCAGCCACCTTCCAATCTCCAAATGACTCCTCTTTCTCGTTACCCTCCCCCTTAAAGAAGCTACTTGGAAGGCACGCACATCCGTTTTCCTCCTTGTGGGAAGTGCTGTCATCCGCCAGGGCTCTTGTTCAGTGTTTCTGCAGGTGGGATGGACGTGCTCTTCCCGGCAGGACTTAGCCCAGTCTCAGGGCTACCGCTGCTCCCCCTGCCCAGTGTCTCTCCGTCCGCCCTTGTTCCGTGAGTGTGAGCGCCAGCTCACTGGGACTTGATGTTTATTTTTCTGCTTAAAGATAGTGTGAGGTTTGAACATTCTGTCTATCCTAGTTATGCTAAAGTCGTTCTTTATGCTTGGTGTTTTTTTTTCTTTGTATGTATTCACTTATGTATTTATGTATTTATTTATTTTTGAGAGTGTGCCGGGAGAGTTGAGTTGATGTAGCCAATTCAACTACCTGGGTTGCCCAGAATTCCATTTCTTCAGTTTTAGGTTAGTTAGAGTATTTTCAACTGTACATAACAAAGATGCTGGGCTCATACTGGCTTGGACATCAGGGAAATATACACCACTTCACCTGTAACAAGAAGACTGATGCAGGGCGCCTCGGGCTCAGGATGTGGGGCTCAGTGTGTCTCCAGTGTACGCTGGCTTCATCTTCAGGCAGGACAGAAGCACAGGTTCAGGGTCCGTTAAGTGCTGCCACAGGTTAGATTCCCTAAAAGCTAAGTATGATTTGGGGAGTCTTGTATAAGTGATTGATTGATTTTTATTTATCTATTTTTTGTTAATCCNTAGGTTAGATTCCCTAAAAAGCTAAGTATGATTTGGGGAATCTTGTATAAGTGATTGATTGATTTTTATTTATCTATTTTTTGTTAATCCTCACATGAGGATATTTTTTCCATTGCTTTTCAGAGAGAGCAGAAGGGAGGAAGGGGCGGGGAGAGAGAAACATCAGTGTGAGAGAGCCACATCAATTGGTTGTGTCCCGCAGACGCCCCAACTGGGACTGGGGAGCAAACCTGCAACTGAGTTACATGCCCTTGACTGGGAATTGTACCTGCGACCCTTCCATCTGTGGGCTGACACTCTGACCACTGAGCCAAACCGGCCAGGGCAGTGGTTGATTTATTGATGAAGTCCTCTCAGGAGAAATCTGTAAGGGAGAGAAGGATGCAGGATATTATAGAGGAAGCAACTAGGCAAAGCTGTGGATTTAGGGGAAGTCTAGCCTCTGATCCTGTGGGGGACTCTGAAGTGTGAATGACACCACAGAATTTATCCTGAGGGAGACAGGACAAGGGAGCTTGACTTTATATGTTGGCCTCAATTATTGATCATTGGAGGAATCAGGACTTGAGCTGAGCCTGCTGGGCTGGGAAGCAGAGAAGCACAGGAGAGCTGCAGGCCACAGACTGGATGAAGGGTGTCCCTGGACAAGAGGAGGGCTCCTGGATGTCACGGGCCACCTCCTGCCAGAGCCTTCACTGCTTGTCACATGGTGCTCTGAGCCATGGGCATGCTTTCATTCATTTCTTCATAATGCACTCAACACTTGCATACTGAGAACCCTTTGAATACCAGACCCTGTTCTGCATAAATGACCATGAACTAGACACTCCCCATGCACACACTGTCCCTCATCCTGTGTTCACTGACCAGAGGGGACCAGGAGTGTCAAGCCAAAGGAAACACTTTGGGAGCATAAATGGGGCCTACCCTTATCCAGAAAGAGAGCATATATGCCTGGGACAGAAACCCCAAGGGATGAGTGAGTTTGGTCAGGCAGAGTTGGGGCTGGGTCACTCAGGTGTGGCTGCCAGAGGGAACAGTGTGTGCAGAAACTCTGAGGTGCTCAAGAGCCCGATGCCTCCAGGAACTCAGAGGCACTGCCTGTGGCTGGACGAGGTGAGAACAGGAAAAGTATCCTGAGAGGAAGGGGGGCAGAGCCAGCTAGAGGGTCTCTTGGGTTCCAGGAAGAGGTTTGGCCTTACCCTAGGATCCAGGGGATCCAGGGTTGGATTTTAAGCAAGAAAGGGATGTGATCAGATTCAAGTTCTGTGGGGAGTAGATTGGAATGAGGTGAGAGTGAGGGGTGAGAATGAGGGGACCAGGCAGGGAGGGTGGTCTGCACTAGGTGACAATGAGAAGTGAGAAGCAAAATGGGCAGAGTCAGGGACTGATGTGAGGGTGGAGGTGGCATGAAAGATGCAGCTGACAAGGGTGATGGAGGTCGGTGGCCAGGGTCCAGATGGGAGGCGTATCCCTAGGCCCATGCCCGAGCGGAGTCCGGGCCCCAGTGTCAGGGTGACAGGGTGTGTGGAGCTCCCTGATTCCCATTTCTCTGTTCCACATGGACAGGGTTCTGGAGCACCTCAGCAACCTGTCCAGAGAAGTGAACCTGGACTATGAGCGCAGCATGAACAAGATCAACTTTGACCAAATTGTCGCCTCTAAGCCTGACACGTTCTCCTACGTGACCCTGCCCCAGAAGGAGGAGGAGACAGTGCCTCAGTATGGTGAGGGTGGTGGCGAAGGTGGCCCTAGGGCTGCCCAGCCAGCCAGAGATCCCCCCTCTCCCTGCCGTCTCCTATAAACCCAGCACTCACCGCATGGATCCTGTCCCCAGCATTCATGCCCCACCTTTTCCTAACTGCCTGGAGGGCTGGGGGCAGTGGGTGAAGGCTCTTTAAAAACAGTAGTCTGCATAGTACAGAAGTAGCAAGGTAAACACGTACTAGGAAAACAGTTGCTCAGAAGTGGATGTAAAGGGCGCTGATTAGCTGACCCAGGGACATGGGGTCCTTTCTTCCTCCAACAGCAAGAGTAGGTTGACATTGCTGAGGCTCCATTGGACAGGTGGCAGACTGAGCCACAGAGTAGGACACCAGGTCCCCCCAAGCCCTCCTTGCTTTGAGCTCCCTAATCCCTGCTAATTTTCCTGGACTCAGGAAAGCTGGGTCAGGCATGGACAGTGGGCATTCCAAGGGCCCTGGTACCCACATCTTTTCTTGGTACCCTGGGCAGGCGCCAGATGGGCATCAGGGGTGGTGTGCAGAGTGGGCAAGAGTGGATGAGGAGAGGGGTTGAAGTTCTCACTCACCCATTTCAAAGGGGTCTGTGACACAAAGGCGCCTGGAGGAAATTTACTTACGCACCCCAGAGTAGACACCTCACTGCAGGGCCTTCGGGCTGCTCTGACAGGCCGTGGAAAGAGAGGGATCCTGGGGACATGTGTGCCTCTTCCTGGGAGGAGACAGGAGCTGTGTCCCTCTAGATCTGTCCTGACCCAGGGTGTGTCCTAGGCCCATATGACACTGGCCCTTGGCCCCCAACCCCACAGGGCTGGTGAGTGTCCCCAAGTACCCTTTCCGGGAGCAGAAGGCAGACTTCACCTTTGTGTCCCTGCTCACACGGCCGGAGGTCATCACAGCCCTCAGCAAGGTGCGGGCCGAGTGCAACAAGGTGACCACCATGTCCCTGTTCCACTCGACCCTCTCTAAGTACAGCCGCCTGGAAGAGTTCGAGCAGATCCAGTCACAGACTTTCTCCCAGGTGCGTAGGCACCCAGGGCACAAGGTGGCAGCATGCAGACCAGAGCCTTGGAGCTAATAGGGGCAGGCCAGGGGCTCCCGGGGTGAGATGTGAGTCCCTGCTCTCCTTAAAACCAGGCCTCACCTCTTCCTACACTTCTGGAAGGCTGGGGTGGGTGCCAAGGGGGGTGGCTCACCTTGGAGAGAAAAGGAGAGCCAGTCACTTCCCATCCTGACCCTGGTGGCCTCTGAAGCAGAAGCAGGAACCCTATGCACCCTTGTGTCTACCTGGGGATTGGGTACAAGAGAGAAGGGGTTCAGCCTCCTGCAAAACAGCTGCCAGGTGACTGAGGAGAAAGGCTCCCTCTCTCTCTGCCTCTCTCCTGGTACCTCTCTCTGTCTCTCTCCCTTGGCTAGAAGGAAAGCCTTGTTTTGTTTCCCCTCTCTTCCTCCTTTCACCAGAGCAGTCCTGGTTCCCCAGGTCACAGGAGGGCGTTGGTTGGCAGGCACTGTCATTAAGTTGGGGTTGGGGGAGATCCCTCTGTAGTCATCTTCCTGAGGCCACCCGAGCACCCTGGGGCCTAGGGTCCTTCAGCATGGCAGCTTTGGGCAGCAGTTCCCTGGGGTAGCCACATAATGCCACCTGTGGCCACTCCAGGTGCAGATGTTCCTCAAGGACAGCTGGATCAGCACGCTCAAGGTGGCCATGCGCAGCAGCCTGCGGGACATGAGCAAGGGCTGGTACAACCTCTATGAGACCAACTGGGAGGTGTACCTCATGTCAAAGCTGCGCAAGCTGATGGAGCTGATCAAGTACATGCTGCAGGACACGCTGCGCTTCCTGGTGCAGGACTCGCTGGCCAGCTTCTCGCAGTTCATCTCTGATGCCTGCTGCAGTGTGCTCGACTGCACTGATGACATGGTGTGGGGCGGAGATTTCATAAACAGCCCCTACAGGTGGGGCCCGCCAGGCTGAGGCACCTGCTGACACCTTGCCATGACCCAGTGGCTAGGGTGGTGCAAGGTGGGGGGACCAGGGGGGCCAGGGTCAGGGTGCCCATCACTGCCAGGTCCTGGACATCAGGGAGATCTTGGTTCCCCCGGAATGTCCCACAGCCCTGGCTTGCATTTTTCCTGTGAGGAGATGTGGGATAGGTGGAGGGACCAACACATGCAGAAGCAGGAAGGAGAAAGAACTTGGGGCAGTCAAGGAAGGAGAGTCCAGCAGCTGTGGCTGGAGTGGGGAGGTCAGGGAAGGCTGGTCAGGTGACATGGGTGAGGTGGCAGGGACAAGGCCAGACCATGCAGAGCATCTTGGAGTCATGGTCGGGGCTGGATTTATTCTAGGTCAGCAGCTATCAGAGGGGAGAAATGATCTAATTTACATTCCAAAATGATGCTCTGGATTTGTGGGGTCAAGTAAGACAGAAGAGAAGTCAGACCAAGGCTTCTGCCATTGTCTATACAAGGGGTGACAGGGCTGGGACTTGGTGGGACAGGTATGGGGCAGTGCCTAGGTAGCAGTGCTGTGGGGCCTGGCTGCAGGAGAACGTGTGTGGGGAGGAGGGG